GGTCATAATTTTCCGAAAGATGTTATTATTTTAATGAAAGATAGTGCAGTGAGGTTTTATTTGAAAGATGACGAGTGGATGAAATGTGTGTGACCATGTTTCTTCTGTAGGCCCCATGACAGATCCTAAGTTGAAGAAGCAAGTGCATCAGTTAATCTATCAATATGGACAGCCAGTACAGAAAAAAGAAGCTCCCATACAGTTAAAAATAGTACTGAAAGACGACATTCCAGTGACGCATCGACCTCGAAGATTATCTCTATAAGAGCAATAAATAGTGGAAAAACAGGTATCTGAACGGCTAAAATGAAAAAAATCATAAGTAACAGCTATTACATCAATCAGTTGGATAAGAAATTACAAGACTTCATGACAACATGCATACCATGCTTACTGGCAACAAGAAAATCTGGAAAACAAGAAGGATTTTTACACTCTATAGAAAAAGAAAGTATGCCATTACATACTTTGCATATCGACCATATTGGGCCTCTAATGGAAACTAAAAAACAGTATAATTACATTTTGACAATCGTTGATGCCTTCACCAAGTTTACATGGATATTTCCACAAAGTCCACAACCAGTAAGGAAACATTAGACAAATTAAAAAACTAGACAAATTAAAAAAGATTTTTCAACAACATTTTGGCGACCCAGACAGAATAATAACTGACAAAGGTACCGCATTTACAGGAAATGATTTTCGAGAGTTTTGCGAGACATAAGGTATACAACACTATAACAACTGGAGTACCACGTGGAAATGGACAGGTGGAACGTGTGCATCGTACGATTATCTCAGTTTTAACAAAGTTATGTATTGAAGACCCTTCCTTATGGTATAAGCATGTAAGTCGATTACAGAGAGCTTTGAACAGCACGTACCATAGGAGCATCGATACAACTCCATTCACACTAATGATTGGTATAAAGTTGAGACAAAAGGAAGATTTGGAAATAATACAAATTTTACAGAGTGAAGAGGTTGAACAGTATAACAGAAACAGAGAAGATTTAAGAGTGAAAGCCAAACAACACATATTGAAATTACGAGAATAAAATAGAAGGAACTTTAATAAGCATAGAAAAGAAGGCTGCAAGTATGAAATAGGGGATCTCGTAGCAATCAAGCGCACTCAGTTTGGAGTAGGACTTAAGTTGCGACCAAAATACCTAGGTCCCTACCGTGTCATTAAGGTCAAAAGAAATGACCACTTTTATGTGAAGGAAGTTCATGCACATAATGATTTATTATATTTACGCGAACACTACACATTGAAATAATACTAGTTTTTACGGAATTTATCGCGTATATTTAACTTTTTAAATACCCGACGTTTCAAGAGCTTTACAGCACCCATGGTCACGGGAAGGACTGAGATGTTCAACGTCCAGATGTCATAGTTAACCGCGGTTACCATAGATAAAATTTAACTTTTGATCCGATCTACACAGTATGAACTTATGGTATCATGAAGTCTTGCAGTTGTATGCTTGGGTTGGGATTTATTTTTATTTATTATAGGATCTCAAGGAGATGGTAGCACCCAGCCATCTTCTCTATTGAAATTAGGATGTCTTTTGATTTCAATAGCCTCGCGAACCATCCTTGGAAGGAATCGGTGTTCTTTAGCGAGGATTTGTGGTCTATCAAATCTGATGTAGTGACGGGGGCGATCCTGTACGTGTTCACAGACTGCAGACTTCCTGGAGCGTCGATTCTTCACATCAGCTATATGTTCTTTAACGCGGGTTTTAATTGATCTTTTAGTTTGTCCTATGTAGGAGAGACCACATTCACAATCAAGCTTGTACACTCCTGTATCTTGAAGAGGGACATTATATTTGACTGATGGTAAACACTGACCAATCTTCTTCGGCGGCTTGAAGTATGTTTTGATGGAAGCGCGCTTCAAGATGTAGCCAATCTTGTCAGTGACTCCTCTAACATATGGCAGTACAGCAGGTACACGCTCGACTCTCGCCGGATTCACTCGTTCTTTCTGACGTAGGCGCGGTACCCGAAGCTTGTTGTCATGCAAAGCTTGCTTGACGTGTTGGAGCTCGGTAGCCAGGTGTTTACTGTCACAGATCCCTCGTGCTCTCTGAAACAAAGATTTACCCACGGTAGCTAACTGTGAAGGATGGTGGTGAGAATCACCGTTTAAATATCTATCTGTATGGGTCTTTTTTCTATACACAGTATGGATCAAGGTGTTATCAGGATTCCGAATTACCAACACATCTAGAAAAGTTAAGGAATTGTTTGCCTCTAACTCCATTGTGAACTGAATTTTAGAATTTATAGAGTTAAGATGGTCTAAAAATGCATTTACTTTATCTAAAGGTAGAATTGTGAAAGTGTTGTCTACGTACCGCTTGAAGAATCTTGGATTTATGGGAGAAGTAAGCAGGGCTTTCTCCTCAAAGTCTTCCATGAATATGTCGGCGACAATGGGAGATACAGGTGAGCCCATCGCCACACCATCTACTTGCTTGTAGAACTCCTCCTTCCTCAATAGGTAGCCAGATGTAAGGCAGTCTCTGAGTAATACTGCATATTCTACGGGCATGTTGTTTTCTTCCAGCCTTCTAGTTACAGTTGAGATGCATTCTTCAACAGGTAAGCATGTAAACAATGACTGCACATCAAAGCTGACCATAGTTTCATTGTCTGCCAGACGTAGGTCTTTAATTCCCTGACAAAATGGTAGGAATCCTTTATGTGTGCTCTTGTATGTCCCCTGAGCGGTGAGAGTATTTTCGCTAAGTGTTGAGCCAATCTGTAAGTTGGTGAATCGATTTGGCTCACTATGGGACGTAATGGAGCATTGGGCTTGTGTATTTTTGGTAACCCATAAAACTTTGGTGATTTGGCACACGTAGGTATTATCCATTTTACGTCCAGATTTAATTTTTCGGAGTGTTTCTTTATGAGGTCACTAGTTGTTTTTAGTGTGCTATTTGTTGGGTCGTTTTTAACCTTTTTATAAGTACTTACATCCGACAAAAGTTCTTGTATTTTAGAATTATAATCTCACGTATCCATGACTACCGTGGCGTTTCCCTTATCTGCGCGGAGAATCGTAAGTGAGTATCGGAGTATCGCGTTCATGCACATGATGAGGGTCCAGGGAAAACGTCGACCTCAGTTGATCAGATGAAACGATGGCCTGATGATCTTTGACTGATGATCTTTGAAGATGAAACAGGTGAGTGATATAAAGGATGTGAGGGATGTGGAATGATAAGAAGATGAATGAAAGATTATTTAGTTTTTGAGTTTTTATTTGTCTTTATTTACTTTTACTATATTTTTAATTTTGTACAAAGGAACACATGCACCATTATAAACATGATCTGTTAACATGATTTTATTTAAACGAATTAGTTTTGATATGCCTATATTTAAGCTATAAGTATTGTTATTGTGATATGGTTAGTAAAATATAAATAAAAGAGAAGATTGTTGTAACTGTTTTTTTTTTTGCGTAACTGTAATGGGAAATGTGAAGGAAATGTCCTTCAATATCCTTCAATAGAAACTAACTCTTTGACTTCTTTTTAAATGACTGTGGTTTGAATTACTTTGTAAGTACCTATTACTGTAATAAAGGAAATGTTAAGTAAAATACAAGACTATGTTGTATAGGTTTGTTTATTATTGCTAAGACAACTGTTTATTTTGTTTTTAAGTGTTGGTAGTAAGTTGTGAATGTTAAGGAGTGAAAGCGGCGTGGATGCCTGAGGACAGGCATGAGATCGGGACGACCGAATGTAGGATGGAACGCAGCGTAATGAAGTGATCTGAAAGGAACGGAGCGAATGACGAATGAGTAAAAGAATGAGAGTGAGTGAGTAAGTGAGAATGATAAGAAAGCAAGGAGCAATGGAGGAAAGGATGCTTGTAAAGACGCGCACGCAATAATTAATTAAATTCAAATAAAGAGTGTTTTCAAGATATTTCTGGTTTTACTGCACGATCAACACTACATATATATATATATATTTATATATATATATATATATATATATATATATATATATATATATATATATATAAACAAATACAATAGAAGATGCATTTACATATTGTTTTTGGGTCGCAACTTTTTGATAGTCTACGTTCTCCATACTTATTTATTTTATGCTAAACGGATAAAAAGATGTTTTTTTTTAGATAACTGACGACTAGTTTAGTAGTTACGGGCTAACATGCATCATTCATACCAGCTGAAAATATTACGCTCCTGCTAGCCTTTTTTATAGAAAATGGATAACAAATGACCACACAGTCCACCTGATGGTAAGTGGATGCTATGGTCCATAGACATCTACATTTATCCTCAATTAAGAAATACGATGGAGATGAGTTGTCACACCTGAGGACTGAGGTGGAATGCCTCGTTTCCAGTAAAAAGGGTATCCTATTCTCTCTCACCATACGAGACACAGCAGCATTAAGCTGCTATTTTACGCTGGTATTCTGTTAGAGCGCGGTCGAGCCAACCCATTGTTGCAACAACTACAATATAGCTTCAGCGTAGCTATACCAACTTTAAAGCTCTACCGTAGCTTGATGAAAAAATTCTTTGTTAAGCTAATTTTGTGTTCTTATTGTTATTTAGCGCATTTATATCGAGGCTATTTTTACGAATCTGCATTTATGAGTATTTCAATTACCTGTCTGGTTACTTGTGTTAAACCAAGAAATTTTATTTTCTTTGCCTACCTCATAAACTGATAAAAACATTTTGTGCTTATTAGCAGACACTTACAGACAAGCACGGCGTAACGTGTAAAAAGTTCCTTGGCATTTTCAAAAACTCAAGAGCCCCGCAATGCAAGGTATCCACTTTCGAAATTATTCACTTCGAATTGTAAAAAAAGGCGAACTCTTTTAAGGAAACCGACTTTTGTCGTTGCCTGAGTTTCAATTCGAACAAGTGTCACCCTCAACCCGTTTTGTAACACGTGTTGCAAACAAAAAAGACTTACCCAATCCATCCCTTTTCTTGGTTATGGATACCATAATAGCCATAAATACAGGACACTGTATATAAAACTAACCATGTGAGGTTTATTTATTACAGTTAGTTGATATATATATATATATATATATATATGTGTGTGTGTGTATATGTATGTATGTGTGTGCTTGTGTGTGTGTGTGTGTGTGTGTGTTTTTATTTACTTATAATATTATAGCATAATCTGTTTTGTTATATATAATTTTTGTTTTTCTTTTAATTGCTACACCTACGACAAACTCTCACAACTTTATGGGTTGATGGCCTTTAAGCATTAAGTCCACCCTCTATATCCCTTTTTTTTCTTAAGGAACGCAATAAAGTTATTAAAATAATGTACATAAAATAAATATTGTAAAACTCCAATAATTTAACAATATTTTAAAATATTTTTGTTGGTATTATTATAAATCGATATACGAGATAAATTAATTAACTCGCCATCGCTAACAAAATTATTAATAACTAGCTCACTAATATCGAATAATAAGATTTCGTTACCCAGTCCCTTTTGTAAAGTTCGTTACAAATTGAAAAACAAACAGCGTAACTTTTAACCAGCTAAATCCTATGAAATTGAAGCAGATGGTGGCCGTATTCCCATTTCCCACCATTCTAGAAAGTTTTTAAAGGATTGTGCAAGTTATTAGTCGTAAAATATTTTGGACTAAGACGTATAGGCCGTAAGTCCGTAATTCGCAATGGTCGCACCATAGCGGGGGACATTTGAAACAACTGTTGTTTGCTTCAACGTTTTAATTGTTCCTAATTTGTAAAACTTTTTTCATCTGATTTACGAGTATAACACTTTTCTATGCTCGTTTTTTTCGATATTGGAAACATGTGGCTGAAAGGGTGACAACACGCAGGGCTGTTCTTTAACCGCTTTGAAAACACTTTCAGAGTTGTTATTAAATATTTCACGTCATCTGTACCTAATAGATAAGTGATTTACCGCAGCTTTCACTGTTAAAAGTTAGAAAATTTATAACGTAGAAAAAATTTATTGAAAATTTGTAAATGACAACCGAGAATATCATGATTCTGTAAATGTTCGTAAATATAGATCCAACGGAAATTAAGTAATTATTGTTTTCAGTGATCAATAAAAAAAATTAATATTGACTTTTTGTTATTTTTGATTTTATTTTATAACTAAGGTAACAAAGGGCCTGCACTGTTCGTCAATATAAGCTATGGCCCCTTTCACGGAAACGTTGTTTATCAGAGACCCAAAAATGATCCTTGGTAAAGAGCTTAAATAGTTAAATGAGATCATGGAAATACAAATTTTATACATTTAATGAAGAGATAACACTATATTATAATTATGTTTTATTTATACACTGGACTTCTGTAGATAAGAACTCAATAATAATATAAATTCTGCGTTTGCCAGCCCTCCTGCCAAACGTGGCAACTTGCCCCCTTTGAAGCAATCTGTGGGGATGGCCTATTATATTCAGTAGTGAACATTTGTTGGGCTGTAATGAATTAATGTTAAAATAAATAATATTATAATTTTTTTTGATAAAATTGACTTACACTATAAAATATATTAAATCTAGATAGTAATTACAAAGAAGGATCGAAAAACAGAGTTTTGCCATAATGTCACAAAAACCTGAACGCACTCAGTGTGCCTACGCGCACAATTTCTCTACGAAAATTTATGTAAAGCAGAGTGGCTCGTGAGCCCTAATGAGTCGAATTAAGATAGCGCAGTCGGTCTGCGCACAGCTCACTCTAAAGGAATAATTACGTGCTATTTGCCAAGATACTAGAATTTATGTAGATAGTATAATATTATTTAGTCTAGTCGATAACAGTGTTGACTTAATAGTTTTATAGAACAAACAAACTCAACAACGTGAGTTGTTGAGTTTGTTTACATTTAATAATCATATACAATTTAAAATAATAAATGATAATTAAAAACGTTGGTTAACGTTAATACAAAAACTATAATAGATATCATATTTTGTTACGGTTGAAAATGAATTGGGGTCCACATTTTTTGGGTATTCAGAACTGACTTTGTTCCAATGTTCCAAATCAAAAATTTTATTTTATTTTATTTTTTCTAAATCCTGTTTCTAAAGTCCATATTTTAGGTTAGGTAACGGTATAAGATATATAAATCATACATACATATATTATTGAAATAATAAAAAGTTTTTGCTGATTACCTACTTAAAGATGCAAATTAAACATGATTTTTTTAATTCTTTTGCCCCGAAAATAAAGAAAATTGTCGGCAAAATTTCACGTAATCACGACCACTGCTGACTTTTTAGGGCAAATTTCGGTTGATTATATATTTATTGAGTTTATGATAAGAGTCTAATTGGTAATGTGAGAGTTGAATTGCGAAATTATTAAGAAAATATCTGGTTGTAGAAGCGGAGATGGACGAATTTCGTGTACAGACTTACGTATTTGCTGTTAATGACTACCTATCCGAAGTTGATATGTAGTCATGTAAAGACTATACAGGTTGCTGTAGAAGGTAACACGGTTACAGGTAAAAGGACGGGCCTACCACTTGGGTGGTCCGTGGAATCAACTTTGTCGATTATAAGGTATATAAGAAAACTTCGAAGCGTTTATATTGGCTTCTGCCCACTTTTTTACTCGTGTACAGTGTACAGGTCTGTTCTTCCGTTACCTAGCTTTTAAACATTTTAATTATAAAAATTTTCTAAAAAACTAAATACTTTTTAAATATTTCATTAAAAACTTCACAAATCATTTTATGTAAAGTACTTACTATTAAAAATCAAATTAATCCTGCTTAACTGATTTACAAGCATATCTGAAAAAATGTCCTTCAGTAAGATTATAGTATAAAGAATTACAGTACGATAGTTACAGTATAAAGAATTACAGTTTAATATTTCATAAAATAATTAAAACAAGGGGGAGCACTAATTTATAGTCGTTCGCACGGGCTCCCTCGTCGTGACCAACCTGTATATATGCAATGTATATTTTTATTTAAATAAAGCTCTCTTGAATAACGACACCAATGTACGCAGTAATTAAAGAAGTATTTCGGAAGCGTCAGCATACATATTTACCAGCAGATATTTTAATTAAATTAATTTAATACTGTAAATTACCTTCACATTATGTAGTTAATGCAAATGACAATACATATATGCTGATCGTTAACAATAATATTAAGTTCTTTGTGTTAATTAAAATTACGTTAAGATTATTTTCAGTACCAAATAAGGATTCTGTTCCTTTTTTTACCAACATTGATTAACTCTATAAGTCATGAGAAGAAGACTCTACCCAGCTGAGAGACGTATATAGCCTATTGAAGTTAAAGTTATATATACGTTCCACTGCTGGGCACACGCCTACTCTCATTTCTGAGAGGGTTTAAGGACAATAAAGTGTCCGCCGCTGCCCCAATGCCTGCTGGCAAACTTCATATGTCTGAAATATTTTTGTCTTATTTCTCAGTCATACAGGTTTCCTCACGAACTCACGATGTTTTCTTTCACCGCCGAGCACGTGTTGTATAGGCTGTAATTTTACTTTAATATATTAAAATTAAATAAATAATCTTAATTAAATTGTACCTATATCTTACTCAAATCTTATTACCCCAAAATCATTAGATATTATTATCAAAAGCGTGCGCAAGATGTAATCTAAATAGACTTTCTAAGAAACCGTTCGTAAGTTCGTTCTTGATATTGTCGACCACAGTACCCAATCGGTGCACTGTGTATTGAGTTGAGAGCTAGCTTGTTATCTCAAAAACACAATATGAATAATACATTAGTGGCCGCATACCCATGCACTCTTAAATTGGCAAAGCTTAATTGACTCAAAGGTTCAAAATGAAAGGACTTCGTGCTACCATGTCCTTCGGAACATTACGCGGCAATTTTTTATGCAATCTGTACTCGACGTTCATAACGGAATCAATTTAAATCGGTATTAGCAGATAAGGTTTTATATGCTCGTACAGTTGGCATAAAAATGTTTGGAAAACTGTCACATATTTTCATATCATATTAAAAAAAAACAATGAAATATATACTAACATAAAAAAGTGTGTTCATTGAATAACAGCACCACAAATTATCATAATGTGAGTTTTGTTCTTTTAATAGGTCTTTCTTTAAAAAGATAAAACATGTTTGTGAGTCATGAATGTTCAGTAAATTTCCATCTTAAAGTTTAAAGTATTTTATGTTAACATCTAATATACATAAAAAGACCTACAGTAATATACTACAAATAGCAGAAAAACATGGAATATGCACAATAACAGGTGTATGTATCTATCAGCACTTATTCCTGTAGTAAATTATTCAGTTTCAATTCAAACAGCAGCAAGTAGTAGTAATAATACATATTGTTAAAATAACGCCACCATCATAATAGCTTACAATTATCAATTAAATTGATTATATCTTAATTTCATTACCAAGCAATTGCATTTCGCGATAAAACGGGCGAAGTCTAACAATATCGCATGATTGTGTAAGAAATCTAGCGAGAGGCTGAGGGCGGAGCTACTTGGCGTACGTGATAGGCGTAATTAGAGTCACACTAGGTATTATTAAAGGTAAATAAAATTATGCACAATTGTTTTATACGTGGTAGAGCCATGGTCACGTGGCTCGACCGGGGAAGGATCACGTTCGTATGGAATACCGGCGTGAAATGATGCCGCTGTGTTTTGTATGATGAGTAACGAGTTTTAATGGTAACGAGACAAATTATCTTCATCAGGAGTGAAAACAATTCTACCTTATGATTCCTATTTGAAGATAAACGTGGGTGTCTATGGGCCACAGCATAATTTTACCACGAAGACCACCAGGAATGTGTGGTTGTTTGTTACCTTTATTTTTGAAAGTTAAATCCTAAGAAAAAGGTACGTTTAGAAAAAAATGAAACTAGGCAATTATAGTAGCTTTTTTTTATAAAACTGAAGGCACGAGCGATCTCACAGGCCGCATGATCGTAAGTAGTA